AGGGTCTAGGGTTTAGGGTTTCTGGTATGTTCTGGTTTCGTTATGGTATATCATGGTTTTTGTATGGTATGCCAAGGTATGTTACGGTTTCGTTATTGTATATTATGGTATATGTATGGTATACTGAGGTATGCTAGTATTATCATCATTGCTGCTACTGCGATTTCAGTAGAGCCTTGTCCTTGTACATGTTCTGTTGTGACTGTTATCACAAATCGTAACCAAGGTGCCCGAAACTCGAAACCCTAAACCGTTTATGGTGCCTGGACAGGTGGCCCAGCTGGGGTCCGGGCGAATTTTCGGGGAACTGGCGTTGCAGAGCCTTGAAGGTGGAACTGTTGCTTTTGGATAGGTCTAGGGGTGTTAGGGTTTGCGGTGACCGTAAACCCGAAACCCTAACTAAACCCTAAACCCTAAACTACGGTTGCAAGGGTTCAGGGCTTGGGGTTTAGGGTGGGGCTTCGTGGGTCTCGGGTTTGCGAGTCTAGGATTTAGGCCTCGGGGTAGGGATTCAGGGTTGGTTTCGGAGATTTGCCGCTGGGTTTATTGACTATCAGGGTTCTGGCTTCAGGCTTTTGGGTTGGGTGTCCGCGACAAGGACAGCACTTATAGCCAGAAGAAGACTCCCATAATGTACGGGCCGTAATTATTAGAATAAGGCTTGGGGGTATATTATACCATAAATGATATTAAGGAGCCCCCAAAACCCTAGTCTAATGATTAAGGCCCCATACATTACCTAGCTCCAAAAAAGGTTCCAGTGGGCTCAGGAGGGACGGAACCACTTTTTTTGGATGGCTTCGGGTTCGTTTGCCCTAAACTCTAGACCCATCGTGGTCGGTTTATGGGTTTAGGGCTTAGGGTTTTTGGGTCCCGCAGTTCGGGTATCTATTTTTTTTGCGGCCTTTTGGGATGTTTAACGCCTTCGGGAGGGAAGGGGGCGGGGGATGGGGTTCTTTCAGAGTAAAGGATTTCCAATGGCTGTTGCAGTACAGGGCGTTCAGGGCTCCAATCAAGGGTCGATGTTGCGAGTCATGCAACTTGTGCTAAGGCCACTTATACGTAAGATTTGTCATGCGGCGATAACTGTGTCTGTAGCAGTTTGGAAGGGTATCATGAACATCAGTTGTTGACGCCGAGTAGCCCCGTGAATAAAAGGCAGCACAAGACTATCAAGCACGATATCCTTCATACCAGTATTTGTAGTGTGAACGACTTTCGATGGTGGTGCAAAAAAATAAGTGCATAACCACAATCGAGGTGACAGCATGATCGTGTGCTGATGACCATGCTCATAATATCGGCGGCGATGCTTATTATCGCTGCCATCCAAATTGTGTCATCGTCTTCGTGTTATGCTGTATCCGTCCCGGACTTAAGGAGGCTTTGAGGCAGAACTCTGCAGAAAAACATTCGCTCTGCTAGATGCAGACCTAGATTGTGCTATGCTTCACCGTGTAGGATCAGGGTTTTGTGAGAAGGCGGCCCGACCCCAAACCGATTACCTCCCGGCACGGTTTACGATTGAGGATATAGCAACCCCTAGACTCTAAACCCCGAGGAGAAACCCTAAACCCTAAACCAAGGAACACGAAGCCGCGTGCGGCGACCATCAAGTGTGCGGAGGATTCCGCCTTCTTGCGGAGACTGGAATGAATTGGGTTTAGGGTTTGGGGTTTTGAAGGAAAGTAGTAGTATCAGTAGTCAGTAGTCGTCGTAGTAGATGGTAATGGTAGTGGTGGTGGAGGCAGTTGTAGAGAGTCATAGCATATATACTTGTACGCGTGTCTGTGTTGGCTCCAGGAGTAGTCTCCTGCGAGGGTGACCGTGTCACAAACGAAGCGGACATTTTCTGCTGCTCACATTCTATCGTAGTAGAAGCTCGTTTCGGCTGTTGTGACTGCTTTGGCTCTTGTGGCTGTCTTGCCTCTCGAGGCTGTTGCCACTTCTACTGCTGTCCTTGCTGCGTTTTGGCCACAGCTGCGCTTGCTTTTGACAGAATCAACCCTAAACCCTCAACCCTAAACCCGAAACCCGAAACCCTCAACCGGTGGGCAGGCAGGAAGGGAGCTTAATGGGACGGCGGGTCGGGCGAAAGTGCCCGAGCTTCAGCTTTGAGCGGATTGGGGCCTAGGCGAAAGACCTCCCAAACCTCTGCCCATGATCCCGACGCAGCCTGATAATGTAGAAGCCGAAATAATTACCCATATTAATCCTTAGGTTCCTGATTATAAATAAATAAATAAATAAATATATATATATATATATATACTATAAAGGAGCCCAAAACCCTATTCTAATTATTAAGACCCCCTACATTAGCCGTGTCGAAGCCCCAAGGCCGCAATCTGCTTGTGCTGAGGATTCCGTATGCAACCTACCAGGGTGTGGTCAAGGAGATCTTCGACGAGGCACGCTTCACCATGGTTTCACCAGGGTTTCACCCCCTAAACCCTAAAACCCTAAACCCTAAAACCCTAAAGCCCTAAACCCTAAACCCTAAACCCTAAACCCCTAAACCCTAAACCCTTAAACCCTGAGATGAGGGTTTTGGTTTTGCAACCTAGTGAAGTGAAGTGAAGTGAAGTGAAGTGAAGTGAAGTGAAGTGAAGTGAAGTGAAGTGAAGTGGCTAGCAGCAGTAGCTGCAGCCGCCCAGACTCTTCCCC